TGTGTGTGTGTTTGTGTGTGTGTGTTTGTGTGTGTGTGTTTGTGTGTGTGTGTTTGTGTGTGTGTGTTTGTGTGTGTGTGTTTGTGTGTGTGTGTTTGTGTGTGTGTGTTTGTGTGTGTGTTTGTGTGTGTGTTTGTTTGTGTGTGTGTGTGTGTGTGTGTGCATTTCAAAATGCACAAATTATTTGCTGGGACTGCTGTATCATGATATGAGAAATCATTGAAAGATATACTGGCAGAAGCAGCATAGATGAGATTCAACTTTTTTTTAATCCTTTGCACAAATTTTCATGAACAATAAGTTTTAGGATTCAGACTAAAAATAAAAAAGTGGCATGTTGGTTATCTTTTCTCTGTTTCAACAAGATTTCATTCAACAAGATTTAACAAGATGGAGAACTAATGATGTTAAATCTATGATAAAAATTTACATATCCTTCCATGTGGATTGAATAATTTGTTCTTCTTTGATTATGATGCTTTAGAATAATCAGCCCATGGGTGAATCCATTGGTGGTTGTTTTGAGCAGTGGACCTTCCAATTTCTCCTTTTTCATTCCACCAGGCAGTTTGGCTTCTGAGTATAAGACTGGTCTCCAATTTTCTCCGTAAGTTTTATGTGAATTTTCAAGTTTGAGAACCAATTTAATGTTTATTTGTTTACTCCATATACAGATATGCAATCAGCATTGAGAACATGATCATTGGCTTTCATCGATTCAGCATGGGCTCTGTCAACTCAGTCATAATACTTGAAGAGGGCGTGAGTATATGGCATGGACTTGAAATGCATGAAACTCAGACATTTTGTACTGAGAGATTCTTTGTCTGTATCTCTGAATCAGCTGGGAATTGGGGTGATTGAAACAATCCCTGGGGGAAGCATTCACATATTCTACCAGCTTCCTTTATACTTTCTCCAAGCATTGGCTGAAGTGTTTTTCTACAATTCCTGCAGGCAATTATTCTATGAAGATGTGAGTGTAAAACCTGTTCATATATTCATTACTGTGTACTAGGGTTGGTTGGTGAAAGATGATAAACTGTCACTTGCCATCATTGGAGGTGGATGCAATTTTTTATTCATTTTTTGCTCTGTAATACTTCATTGGTGTCTAGTTAATGTTTGTGGATTTCTCAGCTACAGAAGGAAAGAAGAAAAAGACCTGGATCACCATGAATCCCCTCCACTGAAGTGAAGTTTGATTGATCAAGAGCAGCTGAATGTGCACTTGTAAACTCTATGACTTTGGGGGTTATGTGGTAAATTTAACTTCAGTGCACATCAGTGGAGGGCATTTACTGTTACTGCAATCAGGTCAATTTTTATATCACAGGTAAACCTCATTAACTTGAACCTCCCTTAGTCAAATATCCCCTTAAGTAGAATTTTTTCAGATCCCGATCTGAATCCCCTTAGAAATAATACATTTAAAAATCTCCCAAGTTGAAGGCTTTCCCCCTCAAACCTCTGTTAGTTGAATTTTTTGTGGCCTGTGGGCTATTATTTTCTTTACACAAGAAAGAAGAAACAATTAAAATTGAAATTGATGTGTTTCAAAAGGAAGTGAAAGACTTTATTAGGCAAATGAATCCTTGCCTACAAGTTCAGCATCCTTTCAACTCATTTAAGAAGCTATTTAAGCCCCAGAATACCACTATTTACACTTTTTGGCAATTTCTCTACATTTTCCAGAACAAAAGAGCTTTGTATTGTTGCTCAAAACTCTACAATTTAAAACCTCCCTAAGTCAAAACCTCCCTAAGTTGAATTTTTTTGCTGGTTCCTTGAAATTCAACTTAGAGAGGTTCAACTGCAATAAAGTAAACTTGAAGAACATCATCAGCTTCAATTTAGGATGGTGTGTTTCTATGTGTAAGATTTCAGGAGTTATTTGCTTTAGCAGTTTGCACATTGGGAATGGTGCCATAGGCAAAGCATGTTTTCTTTGATGATTTTTATTTATTTTTGAAAGCAAGTATTTACTGCAATATCCAAGATTGTATTTGCTGATTGTGTGTGTGATTGTTGTCTTCATGAAACCTGTGATGAGACAATAATCTCTTCTTTTAACATCCAAAAGGAGTGAGGATGCTCCAGCTTCCCTTATTTTTGCAGTCATAATGCAGTTTTGCACTTATAAAATTGATTTCCCTACTTGGAGGCTATGTACCTACTTCAGCCCTTGCATGTATCTTGCTTCTGGGATGTTTTTAATGCAGCTTAAAATCTGTAATAATAATCTGAAGGATTGAAGAGCAAAAGAAAAAATTATGTCCACCTCCAATGTGGGCAAGTGGCAGTTCATCATCTTTTATGAACCAACCCTTGTATATACTGTGTGAGTAAAAATTGTATCCATATTTGTGGCAGAGTCCTCCGCAGTTGAGAGCAGTCATGATGAGCTTTATTTGGTTCTTCTTGGGTCTGTCAGAATTTGCTCTGATGCCATTCTTTTTTCATCCTGTCATTGGAAAATCGGTGGGTTTTTTGCAAGAATTTGATGCATGTACATGATTTTATATATTTTTAACTCTTCATCACCTTTAGTGGCAACTCCAGCTTATCTTGAGCATGATTTGTCTGGTTGCATTCCTCTTCCTCATTTATATGGCAGATCAATATGTTTACTATGCAGAGAGGAGGCAACAGGTTATAATGTCACCTGCTACTGGATCAATTAATCCTCATTGAACTTATTTTGCTGATATTTTCTGTGCATCTGTGGAAGAAGGAAACAGAGGGTTTTCATTTCAAGATACAAGGTCTCGCTCATCTTGGTTCTTCAAGAGGTGTATACTGTATACATAACATTTAAAATTTATTTGATAAGTCTGAAATGCGCTGTGCACAAAATTTAAGCAAGTTTAAAATTTAAAATGCATCAATATATGTACAGTACATTACAAAATTGATTCCTGTGGAATGCAAAGCTTGAAAACCTGGAAACTCATCTTTACTACCTGTGACAAAAGTTTGCATATACTGTTTCTGATTATTTGGGATGATGAAATGGATTGTTTGTCCGGGTGAATTGCTGTTGTTAATACTGAACATTAATGACTGGCTTCTGATAGTGGTGGGGTCAAAGAAATGGGGGGGGGGGCTAAAAATTTGGAGAATCTTGTTGATTCTAATAATTGTTTCCATAATATCTAGTCTCAAACACTCAACAAATAGATCCTTTCCCTTTTGCTTTTTCTTATGCATTCCTGCCAAATTTCCAAGAATGGATTCAAGTTTTTTCTCATTTCCCCTTATTTTCTCAAATTTTTCTTCAACATTTTCTATACAGTTTGCATGACTTTTGGAAATAATTGCTGATCTCTAATAGATGCTGGTCTCATTAAATGCCATGGGGGGGGGGGAGGGGGATTGGAAACGGCAAAAATATACCTTTGCATTTATTGGAGCATAAATGGCGCATAGTTTTGTGTATTCAGATTGCAGAAGTATACATACACATTTCATCAATAAATTTCAAACATAAAATGAACTGAAATTATACTGTGGAATACATTTCATAATTTCAATCTTGGGAGGGAAATTGTGCAACTGAAAGTGCTGAATGCTCTTTCACAATACTTTGGTTCTTAAATTTTGAAAATTTCTTTTGACAAACTTGAATGCTCAAATTGTATACTGATTACACTTTTTCACAGAAGAAATGGTTTAGGATATTTCTGTTAACTATGTCAATTTAACATTTTCTTGAGGCAAACTAAAATTAGGAATAACATGATGTACATGTTTGGTGAATTTGGGTGAAATCTTGTTACAGCAAGCCTCAACAAGAGGCCAAGTTAAGTGTGGGAGAGGTTCTGGGTTCAAATCCCAGACAAGCCCCCAATAATGCTAAGGAATTGGTTTAGGGGATTAGATATATGTGTATATATTCTGATTCTGTTCACTGACCACTAAGAGATGGATTAACCCTCACTAGTCTTCTAACCTAACTATACTGTATATTGAGTCTCTCTCCTTTACAAAAACAAATTTTTCAGTCACCATGCATCTTGTACTAAAGGAAGAATCTGATGATTCAATTTTTACTGGGGAAATTACTTCATCATAAAAAAACATTTTGTTGAACTAATTTTATTTCAGCTGTGCTGTATGCACCTTGAGGCTAATAAATTAATGCTGCATCATTCACCTGGTATTTGGCTCATTAACATTTAAATCTTGAAAAGGAACTATCCATGACTGCGCATCAGAAATATTCTGAATTAACCTGAGCATGTACCTATGGATTATTTGGCTCAAGCTTGGGAAATGTCTATATGCCTAATATGTGTTGAGGTTCAGAAAAAACTGTGTTTGCCCTTTCAAGAATAAGAGGAACTTATACAGGTGGGTATACATATTATGGTATGTAATACTGAGAACACAGGATTAAACAAGAATACTTATTGTGTAGTACCTTCACAAGTATTTAAGCCAGAATTTTGAGTGAACTTTACCTGTTATAAAAAGAAAGTAATGTCAGCTTTGGGCAAGAAGAGAGCTATCCTGGCATCAGAACATAGGCAACTCATTACATCAATCCCTGGATCCAAAAGACTTTGGGAAGATTCCCTGAGATCACCTGGGGACAGTTTGCCATCCTCTGGAAGGAACTCAGAAGAGGATGATGATGAAACTACCACATTTGAAGATGGGATCAACCAGAAACTGAATCATGATATTCCATATATAGGCATGGAATGTGGTGTTGTGGTGAGCAAATCTATTGAATATTTCAGGAACCATGGCATACTTAATAAAATCATCATCCTTCTCTTCCAGCATTTTTCTTGGAGGGTGTTTTGCTTCCTCACTATTTCCATCTGCTTTTCATTAATGTGTTGGATCAGTATCAATGGTGAGCTGAGAAAGACATTGTACTTTGAAGTCAATTTATTAGGAATTACTTGAAAACAAACTTCCACAGACCTTTCAAAAAGCTTTCAAGAAAAAGTGATTGTGTTAAGCAGATAATCATGAGACATACATATATAAACTTTTCTAGCAGACTGCTGTAATCTATTTTTTACATCACAACCAACAAAGGAATTGCGTTGGAAGATAAAAAAAAAAACATGATCTCTTTGAATTCCACTTTCTTAACCAGATTTTCCCAGTGTTTTGAGCAGTGAATAACCCTTCAGAAGTATTCCAATTAAGGCTGGGGAAATTTGCATGGAAATATCATAAATTCAGAAATGTTATTTCTCACAACAAATTGTGAACTTCAGTTTTAATCAGATTTCATAGAATTGTGCTTATAATGTTTCTGACATTAGTTTTGAACCTTTTTATAATAAGTATTTCACTATACCATTTTATGTTCATTTTCACCTGTAATATGCTTTGAACAAATTTACAAAGTACCTGCTGTGAAGTTCAGGCTTCAAACATCCCTTCTTTTTCAGCAATTGGCTATAGGCACATGAAAGAACATCTCCACCTCCATGGGACTCTTCCCAAGATATTAATGCATGTGTTTGGGGCAGTATCTATGGTTGTAGCCCTTCCTGGTGGCATATTGGCTGACATTTTTGGAAGATACAGGTGCAAATATGGTTTAAAATTTTCCAAAATGGACTGGGGAATCTTGCCTCTAATTCAAAACTTTTCAAACAACATCATGCATCAGATATGTCAAAACTGCATTTGGAACTTTAACTAAATTCAAATCAATCCATATCATAATTACATTTCATAATTGCAAACATGGTGGGGAAATTTTCCAATTAAAAGTGCAGAAACTCATGTCAATATTCTAAATTTGATTAAATGAATTTCTTACTTAGAATCCTCAACTTGAATTGTGCAGGGATTTTAAAAAGTGTAAATTTCCAGATTAAGAATTTCAGTAGGCTATTTAATAATTATATTTAGTTCTACCAGGTTAAATTCAATGTCTAAAATTTAGGTAACAATGAACAACACCATTGATAGTGAAAATATCCCAGTCCAAAATTTTCCCTGTACAGTATTCAGTAACATGTTTATAGCTCACATCAATGCTTTTAAATAGCTTGTTCAGTTCTTGAATTTAAATTCTGCGAGAAAGCAATACAGGCAACTGCAATTGATTCAGTATGAAATTCAAACTCAGCTCCACCAGCTTGTCCCAATTCAGTTTATGCTGTTGAATTTTGAAGCTTTTGGACAAGAATATAATGGAACTTCAAGGAAAAAAATGTTGAATAATCATTGTGTTCTCATCAGTGATATATTTTAATCATCATTTTACAGAACTGCTTTAGCAGCAAGCATTTTTGGTGTTGCAGGAGCATTAACCCTTGTTGGTGCAGAAATGATGTGTGAAAATGCATTTGCTCATAGGTGAGTGAAAATTTACTACTTTGAAAATGTAGTTAACCACATTTGAGCAGCCAATTATTTGATGAATTTCCTTTTGCAGTTATCCTTGCAAATAGAATCAAACTGTATATGTACTCACAAATGCTTCTTCCAACAAAGTTTGTTTTTGCACAAATTTTTGTAAAACAAATGTGTGAAAAACTAAAACTCTATTAACTTCTTCACTTCCCAAGTGAGCAAGAAGTTCCCAGATTTACATCCAAACCATCAGAAATGTCCAAAAGTTCTGCAAATGCTGTCTGTTAGGTTCCAAAGTTTTCCAAACTAGTCAAAACATGTGTACAGAAGCTCTGTGATGTGAACATCCTTGGAGAATTTGTCTTGTCAATCATATTTGCCTCAAAAAGTTGTCCAATAATCTTAGCAAAAATCTTTTGGAGCATAAATTCTTTGAGAAATGGTTTTAAGGAAAGTTTTTGGCGGTGGACAATTTTTCCAAATGTATCCACCATAAAGGACCAGTGTGGAAATATTTGAAAGAGATCAAGATTAGGACTCTACTTCTTAAATACAGACTTAATTAAGATGCAGCCATGATGTGTGCATTATAGATGTCTGGCCAAGGGGTTGGACTGGCAAGCAGCAGTTCAGGAGTTCAATCCCAAATTTGATAAATATGCACTTATGCTAATTGCACACACACACTCAGATATTGACTCATGCTCATTAATTGGTAAGCAGACAAATGCATTGAAAAAACCACATTCATGCATACATACAGGCAGAATTGCAAACACTGACAGGTTTCCAGAAATATGAACCTTATCATAAATTATGCCTAAGTTTAACAATTGCATGAAGATCTGGAATTCCTTGGAAATGGACATCCCAGCTCTCTGCTGCAATGTACAAATTTTTGTCAATAATATTTTCAAGTTTCATGCATATACAGATTTTCTATATCAGACATGATAATTTTGGATTCAAAATTAATCAAACCAGCCAGCTCTTCTGGAAACATATACAAAGTTTGAAAAAAAAGTGGGAAACTTTCACCCTTCTGGAAACCTGTGAGAAATTATTTCCAATTTTCATTTGACCTGCAGAAGAAGAAACAGACTCTGTCAGCAATAGTAGGGACTGTACATCTATAGGAAAAAAATAATGTACAGGATGCTTTTCTGGATTTGTGTTTATATTGGTCTCCATGTATGTATGTATTATTAAAATAAAGTTTGACAAAGCTGCTTTGCTTATGTTAAACATTCCACTTTCTGTCAGTTCTAATTATTCTTGTGTTATGAAAATTGAATGAAAGGAACTGAATGGACTTTTTTATAGATGTATCACTGTTCCATTGGTGGTCCTTTCACTTACACAAAGAAGGCTATGCATTCTCTAGACAATTTCAATGGATTTTAGCAACCATGTGAACTAATAAAACTGGATTTTCACATTTTATCATTGAAAATGGAAGATTGTATTTGTTTGTATATGCAAATTGGAGCACTGCGCAGGGTTATGTCCTTAACTGGAATATTTCTGGTGGCAGTCACAACCAAAGTTCAGGCCACAGTTTTGTCTGTGATGTTGATGGATGAGGTCTCACTAACAAGAAATGCCTTCAAGTCAAGAACAACTGAGTTAATCTTGGGGTTACATGCCCTGAAGCAAGTTGCTGCAATTGTGGGTGTGTGGATAGCCACCAGTGTGAGGGAGGCAGTTTATTATTTCCAAAGGTTCACCTGTCATGAAGCTGCATTTTGGTTTACAGCAACTTGCACTGTATTGTGTGTTGGTAAGGAATTTATGAGAATTTCTTTATGAAATCTTGTTACTTGAAATAAAGCTGGCTAAATTTGCAGTTTCCATAGCCTTGTGTAGGCAGAAATTAGCTGAGCAACCACTACAAAGGAATGCTTGCTGGGAAGCATGTGGCTGCATACTGGTGAGTATTTCATCAATCAATATTACTACAAGAGATTCAGACCATTTTTGTGAAAGCAATTTAAGATGTATGCTATGCATTTCAGTGCACCATATCTTTTTGAGGTCTGGAAGGGTTCCTATAGCACATCTGAACTAGATAATTAAAATGCCATTATATTAATTATTTTTGCTTTTAATTGTGATATGAGGTTCCTACCTCTTTGTGTATGAGCCATATAGGCATTTCACTGAGGGAAGGCATCAGATTTGAGATTCTTCCTGTTTCTAGCTGATTGAAAAGTGTAAAACAATTCAGGAGTTCATTAACAAGCACAAATACATCTTGTGATTGAAGACTTCTAAATAAGAGTATGCAAACAATATATAGAATTATCTCCACTTTATTGAGGTTCACTCAGTCCAAGTCTGACTTTTTCAAACAAAAATTCCTGACATTCACTCATCACTACAGGATATTCTAATTTTTATCATCATTCAGGCTGCCTTGAAGAACAGGATTATAGCAAAGGATGCAAATTTTTATCCACATTGGATGGACTTTGCAGTCAGGAGTGGCTATTCAGCTGATGTGATTGTAGAATGCAAGGCAAACCTCAGCCTTCTACTTCTAGGCATTCCCATCTTTTGCTATGGGCTGGTTTACAATGTGAATGTAAGTTATTCTCCTCAATAAAGTTGAACCTGCACTTTTCTGTGCTGAATATGCAGTGTCTCAAAAGATGTTGACTTGTGGATATATTTCAGTAAGCTAATATACACCCCAATTTGAGTAGGTTGAATTTTAAAATCTATTTTTGTATCCAATCATAAAAAATTTCATTTTATATACTTTGCTTGCAAGAAGTTGCCACTTCCTCTGCAGAAAGCCAAATGACGAAAATGTTCACATCTGGGTAAGAAGTTGAACTGTTCCATACAGCATCATTAAACTTTATCATCCTGCGATCTCTCAATACTTCGAAGCATGTAATGATTCCTCAATTTTTATGCCTTCTTCAATTCTTGCAGGGCACATATTTTATTGATATGGCTTTACGGATGAATGGAACAGTCTCAGATACAATGACTATAGAACCAGATGTCATGTACATCACAAACCCTGTGCTGAATCTTTCAATAGTTGTGCTGTTGCTATTTTGGCTAAATGCAAAACTTCAACAGTGGGACATCTTGTGTGACCTGCTGCACAAGCTAGTATTTGGTATGGGTTGCATTGTTGCATGCGGATTGGCTTCAGTTCTGCTGGCATACCATGTAGCTGTGAGTATCTGCAAACATTTCTATTGCTGATTTTGAAATTTATATATATTTGAAAAATTATGTTTCTACCAAATAACAGAATTTTCATCACTCAAAGAGAGGAATGCAGATTCTATTAAAAATTCCAGATGTATTCTTGAAAAATATTTTTATTCACCATTCTGCAAAGCAAAATCTAAACCAGCCATATAGGATAGAAATTCATACTCAATCTGATTATGCACAGGTTAATTCCATTTTTTAATCTTTGTATAATTTAGCTTTCATATTTGGTCAATGGTCTTATTGAATAAATTACTATTATGCAGATAAAATAATATTATTTGAAACCAATTGCAAAAACTTATTTAATGATTAATGTTTGGAAACTGAGGTCTGAATGTTTCTTTTATGCTCTGTAAGTCTGTGTGCATGAAACCAAAAGCATGAATAGATACTGTGTTACAGGTAAAAACTCAACTTTACAAACCAAATTGCAATCCATGAATGAATGGTGTCAATTGTATAGCAAACAGATCCAGTGGTGCCTGGTCAGGGTGAGGTCATGCACATGCTGGTGAATGCCATGGAAGCTCAAGTTCAAGTAATTCATCTGGAGATGGAACCAGAACCGAGAGCCCTTTTCATAAGGAATAAACTCAAGCATCTGCCTGATGATGATCACAGCTGGATTGATCCTTTCAGCTGTATCCATTACATGCTTTCCCAGGATAACAAGAAGCACATCTTTGAGATTGTTGTGCCATTTCATCAGCTCCGCGCATTCTATAATGGAACCTTTGTTGATTCTGGTTTCAAGAACATGGTAGGTACAATTCTGATGTTCAATTCTTCCCAATGATGGAGCAAACTCATAGTATGAAAATTCTTTGAAAAGGTCAGGTCTGGTCTCCTCTGGATGGATAGGAATTTTGGAGCTCTTCAGGCCACAACATTGCAAGGTCCTGAAATTATTGAAAGATCCATAGACACAAAACCTATTGTAAGGTAAGGCAGCAAATTATTTCAATCATAAAAGCCAAACATTTACAGCCATTAAAAATTTTTACACCTTTTAGAGGACTCAACTCCAGACTAAGTAACATGGCACTGTTTACACCATTTTGATTTTTTATATGAGACCTTATATCTGCAGGTCAAGTACAATTCTAGGATGTTGTAAATATTTTTAGTTGGTGTTAGCTCAGGTTACGGTGAAAAGTTCAGGTAGCTTTTTGATTTCCCACTTATTGGCTCATTTTTCCAGAGAAATTATTAACTTTCAAGAGAAAAATTCTCTATAGGCCAGTCAGGGATAATTCATCTTATCTCTTCTATGGTGCGCATAAGAACAAAAATGAAGTTTATCACAAAAAGTCTTGATTTCAGGACAACAAAAGTTGTGGCTGAATGCAGAGGTATGTTTGGTACCTAACAATATGAACCTTTTATAAAGCACAGGTAAAATATAATGTTACCAGAAAAATCTTCCTTACAATAAAACAAAATCATGAAGTGGTACTCAAAAAAGCAGCTTACAAAAAAATGCTACAGAAAAATGCATCATGAACCATTTCCAGGATTCAGAGTAACACAGCATTGGTTTCTTGGTAATTTTTCCAAAGTTTCACCATATGGTTATTGCGATGCCCCCCCTTGTGAATGAACAAATATTGAAATCATCATCAACTATGTTTTTTGCTCATTGGTTGATGATATTAATCCTTTGGATTCTTGTATGAACCCTGTTTTGTGCTTGGTATTGGAGAGGACAGTTCTTTTCCAGCTGAAGCAAATTAAAATTAAATTCACTTTAGTTGAAACTATGACTTGAAGGGAGTTAATTTAGAGTTTGGAGTTTAACTTCAGGCAAACCAAGCATGCTCTGCCTGAAGCACAATTGATGAAAAAATTTCCATAAAAGGAAGAATTGTTTTTACTTTGATGATTGCAGTATATAGCTCTGACATTGCTTCTTGCAAATATATATTTAATAGAGGAACTTTGTTTTTTTTTAATAATTTATTTGGGCTTCAAAAAACAACCCATCATCAAGGATTGAATTTATCTGTCTCAATTGAAACAATTTTAAATATTCTGGGTTACCCTTTTCTCATGAGTCCCTATAAATCTGTTTCAATAAGAAGATTCTGCCCTTAAAGGGTACACTGTCAGGAAAAAATCCAAAACTACCAGATAATTCTTAACATTTAAAGGCACCAGACAAAATTAACAACTAATCTCTTGACGCATTTTTTTGAGAGCCTGAGAACCAAACCCAGGTTCAGTTCCCAGGCTCACCCAAGGACATTTCCATGCTGCTAAAAAAGGGACAAATGAAAGTGGCCGAAATCCGGCATTCATTTCTAATCCAGAAAGTTGTTGTGGTTAACTAGAAACCACAAGTTGATCACTCTGTGTTGAACTCTCAAATAGTACAGATCTCTGCAGAACTCTCGTGTGTGTCAAATTATCAACCAATTCCAAAATTGGTATTTTTGTTCTTTCATACTTGTGAAAATTCTTCAGTTGTTCTGATCAATCTTGTTTTGAATAATATACCAATTTACAATTGCTCAAATTGTATTTCATTTCTCTCAAACTATCTGAAACCAGTTACAAATTTCGTATACCTTTCACCTTTTGTGTGGTAAAAGAAAAATCCTTTGTTCATCTTTTCCTCACATACACCACAGGTGTGCAGAATATGCAGAATTTCTAATGTTTTGCTGTTCTGGTTATGTGAAGTGAACCAATTTTATGCATCATCTCTGTTATTTATGCAATTGGTTAATCCCTTGTTCATGCTTTAGAATCATCAGCCCATGGATCAGTCCCTTGTTGGTTGTTTTGAGCAGTGGACCTTCCAATTTCTCCTTTTTCATTCCACCAGGCAGTTTGGCTTCTGAGTACAGGACTGGTCTCCAATTTTCTCGGTATGTTTCACAGGCATTATTTCCAAATTTGAGTATAGCCATTTAACCTCTTTTGTGTACTCTATTTACAGTTATGCAATCAGCATCCAGGATGTAATCATTGGCTCTCATCGATTCAGCATGGGCTCTGTCAACTCAGTCATAATACTGAAAAATGGTGTGAGTATGGAATGGACTCTGAATTTTATGAGACTCAGATATGTTGTACTGTACAGGGAGACTCTTTTTCTCTTCCTATCTGAATCATCAGGCTAGTATCAGGGTAATTGAAACAACTCCTGGGGGAAGCATTCACATATTGTACCAGCTTCCATTACACTTTCTCCAAGCACTAGCTGAAGTGTTTTTCTTCACCTCCTGCATGCAGTTATTCTATGAAGATGTGAGTCTTGTGAACATGTTCCTATATTCATCAGTCTGTATATTTATTCATATTTGTGATACAGAGTCCTCCACACTTGAGAGCAGCCATGATGAGCTTTCGTTGGTTCTTCATGGGCATGTCAGAAATTGCTCTGATGACACTCTTTTTGCATCCTGTGATTGGAAACTCAGTGAGTAATACTCTACAAATATATGAGATGCTCATTTGTGAATTCAACAGTACAGTGATTCATTTATCATTCTTTATATTATCTATATATATACAGTTGCAACTCCAGGTTGCGTTGACCGCGGTTTGTCTGGCTGGTTTCTTGTTTCTTGGTTATTTGGCAAGTAAATATGCTTACTATGCAGAGAGGAGACGACAGATCATACTGTCACCTGCCACTGGATCAGTTAATCCTCATTGATTTTTTTTATCCTTCTGTGTGGATGAGTAAAACAACCAGTTTTTATCTCATGCAAAAAAGAAATCACCTCTTGTTCTTCAAAACATGTACTGTACTATTGTATATTTGAAATTCACAAGGTAATATTGTATGTTCACTATGCAGAGAGTGAGGAAGAAACAGACTACAATGTTTCCTACCACTGTTTGACCAATTAACAGTCATTATTGAACAGCAGATAAATTGATTTTATTCTCATGATTTGTGAAACAACAAATTTTAATTTCACGCAAAACGGCTTTAAACTTGATTTATTTTTCTTGCATTCTCAAATTTGAAATTAATTTAAGAATTCAACTTCAAATATCATTATAAATTGAGATTAAATTGAAAATTTTCCGATTTGAAATTGCATTAATGTATTCTCAAATTTGAAGGAATAAATTCATTTCATATTTAATAATTATCTCATTTAAACGTTTTAATTTAAAATTTTTAAAATCAATTTACTTTGAAATGAATTGATCTACAGTGATTTGAAACCTTCCAATTCATTTGAAATCATTCAGTACAACATTTGCAATTGAACACAATAAGAAATTTGAAATTGTTAAAGTTAAAATCCGAATT